TGACTTCTGACTTCAAATTACCATGACCCGACTGTATGTGATATTACACCACTTCCACAGAACTCACCTTACCTTTTTCTCCAGCTTTTTGTCTGTCTGTCTATTTCAAATCTGTGAAACACTCTTTTGTCCCACCCCCTCCTCTCGACGTTTGTGACTTTGATGTTCTTCCCAACTGAAAAGTTCGAAGCCAACTAGGGGGCTATTGATAACTATCAAAAGCCTTCCACTTGATATAAATAAATATTGAAGCATAACCTCCCTCTTGAAATTATAACATTTTTGCTGAAGTTTTAAAAAATTGCTTTATAATCAGAAAGCGGTCTGGTCGCCATACGTAACCTTGGATGGTGATGCATTAATTAACAAATTAATTAATTTGTGTAATCTCCAAAAAATTTTCGCTTTGATAGCGTGTTCCAAACTCCATCCTTCCTGCAGCATAACTTATTTTGCGAAGGTCCATTTGAGCTTATTTGCTATCACCTAAAGATATGATTTCATGCTGATTGCATGCAGGGGATTATTTATTTATATCAAATAGCAGGCGTATTGATAGTTTTCATTAACCCTTTAGTTGGCTTCAGGCTTCACAGAGGGGAGGAACATCTAAGTGAGAAAAAGTTGTTATTATTTCAAATGGTAGGCTTTATGATATTTATCATTAGCCCTTAAACTTTGACTTCAGCTTCCCCCAAGGGAGTGTGGGGGGGGGGGTACATTTAAGGCAGTTAATTAATAGGAATTCATTAGCCGTCTTCTTGCTTCCCAGTATCTCTGGCTTTCCTTCCTTGTCTTTAGGGCTGGACATCGAATCAGGTGGGTCTTCTCCATTTCACCCTGTAGGTTACATAGAGGGCATGTGGGTTGAGTGTATACTCCCAATCTGTGAAGGTGTTTTGCCAAGCAATCGTGTCCGATACGTAGTCTAAACTCAGCAACGGCTTCGATTCTTGGCCAGCCGGCTATATCGGAGAGTGCCACTGTCCACTGTTTCTCCTTTGTTCGAGCTTTAAGTTCGTTGCGCCTTGAGGTCTTGAGTTCTCTTCTGATTAAGGCCTTCATTGTGTGGAAAGACATCGGCCGGTCCATGCATTGCAAAATCGCAGTCCCCTTCTTAGCAAGTGTGTCAGCAAGCTTATTGCCTTTAATGCCACAGTTACCAGGAATCCATTGTAGGACCACTGTTTTGTTTTTCTCTCTCAGCAGCTGATAGAGTTTTCTACATTCCTTTATCTCAGCTGTTTTTGGGTGGCTCTCTGCTTCCAATTGAGTTTATTGCTGACTGTGAGTCCGAAAGTATCACCGCTTTGGTGAATTTCTTATCCAGGCAACATAATTGGCCTCTATTTCTCCTTCGAATGCGGATCTATTGTGTCCCGCTGCTGCTTAGAAAGAGAAGAGTTCAGAATAGACACCTGCACCAACGTTTGCTTGGCTTTCTATTTATGACGCATCAGTGAAGACTAGGAGCCATTGATCTGCAGGATAGTTGACATTGAAGGTCTCAATGGCCAGTGAGCGCATTTGTTCTGGAGGGGTGAAGTGAGAAAAAGTGGAGAGGGGGAACAGAAGAGTGATTCAAAGATGTAAAAGAGACAGAGGGGGAACAGAAGAGTGATTCAAAGATGTAAAAGAGACAGACAGACACTAAGGTAGAGAAAAGGTAAAATTTGTACAGTAGAAGGGGTCGAATATAACATACCGTCAGATCATGGTATTTTGACGTCAGAAGTCAACTGCCAGTTTATTGACTATTTTGCACCACGAGGAAGTAAGTCTATCACACATCCCAATTCACAGATGTAAGAGAGACAGACATAAAGGTAGTGAGGAAGGTAAGGTTAGTACTGTGGAAGTGGTGAAATTTGACATTGAGTCTGGTTATGGTAGTTTGAAGTCAACAGTTGGATTATCGGCTTTTTCCCGTATGAGCATACACTTCCAAGTGGTAAGTCTATCGCACGCTCCATTTAAACATATTTTGAGTGAAATTAACAAGAATTTAATGCCGTATTTACGTTGCTGGATTTCATTTTCATATCCCATAAATTTGAAGATATTCACTTTACCACTATGCTATTTGCTGCAGAATTCAATTATTACGCTGATTTATGAGGTCTCCATGGAGGAGGAACTACTAATCATCTTTCAATCGGATTTATTTCTTTGTTGAGTTGAGTATATATATATATATATATATATATATATATATATATATATATATATATATATATATATATGGGGTGTGCGATAGACTTACCTCCACGTGGTGCACCCAGGGCAACGTATACTCATAGGGCAAAAAAGTCTATTTACCGGCAGTTGACTTCAAGCTACCATCACCCCCACTGTATGCAATATTCTACCACTTCCACAGTAATCATTTTACCTTTTCTCTGCCTCTGTGTCTGTCTCTTTTAAAACTGTAAACCACTCTTCTGTTCCCCACCCATCGACTTTCTGTTACTTTGACGTTCCTTCCCTCTGTGAAGTCCGAAGTCAGCTAAAGGGCTAATGATAACTATCAAAACGCCTGCCATTTGAAATAAATAAATAAAAAATATATATAGATATATAAAATTACAAAATAAAATATTCGTATTCTCTCCTATATCCGGCAAACTTGCAATCCCATTACTAGAGCCAAGATCCAATATGATTTTGTAACAACACTGAATATTGCCACATGCTACGGACAGTGGGTGAATCATTCGCAGCATTACTTCAGTTTGCACACAAATTGCTTCTCTGAGGGTTGCAAAATGTCTGTTCTTCTTCTTTAGGCCCAGCATGTGGGAAAAAGACAGAAGGGATAACGTTAGTGACTCAATTGCTGAATCTAAATGAATTTTTTTCTTTCTGGCGACATTTGAAAGTTATTAGTAGTGAAGAAATAAGCCGTCTTTATTAAAGGTCACGTCCATCGATCGCATTGATTCTAGCGAAATAACTAGACCTGGACATACAGAATGGGAGACGAGGAATTGAATGGAAAGCCAGTCACTGACTTTTACTGGGATACCGAAGTCACATTCAATATGGCTGGTAGCATTATTCTATGTATTTAGTACTGGCCTATAGCACTGTCTGACATGAAATTCAAAACTATTATTTATTTATATCAAATGGCAGGCGTTTTGATAGTTATCATTAGCCCTTTTGTTGACTTCAGGCTTCACAGAGGAGAGAAAGAACATCACAGCGAAAAATATTCGAGAGGGGGGAGGGGAACAGAAGTGTTTCCAAAATGTAAAAGAGACAGAAACAAAGTTAGAAAAAAGGTGAGGTGAGTACGGTTGAAGTAGTCGAATTTGACATACAGTGGGGTGATGGTAGTTTGGAGTCAGAAATCAACTGGCGGTTAATAGACTTTTTGCCGTATGAGTATACGTTGCCCTGTGTGCACCACGTAGAGGTAAGTCTATCGTACACCCCTCTAAACTATTATAGGAATTGGACGTATTTCAAAATAGTCTTCAGGCTCCCCTGCTTTTCCTTAACAAAAATATATATCCTCATAATCTCTAATACGCTTGTTAACTGGGGGAAGTTTACACATTCACACTGTTGTTTTACGAACGCCGCTAATTGGAAGACATCCTGAGCACTTGCCATCACTGCTTTATGAAACGTGAAATATCCGGCCTGGTGGTATAAACAAGATGAGAATATAGTCAAAACACAAGGCTATGTTGTTGCTGAAAATTTAACATTTAACTTTGATTTCTCTTCTACTGAATAAAACACCAATGTAATTATCTAAATGTAACAGTTTTCTATTTTATAAAACTATTTTCACATTTTGCCTGGGATACTGGCGTTTTAGAAAGTTCCGTAAAGGACTTCCAGCACAAATCTGTAGTATCCATGGCCTACTAGCTTTGAACAAAACAGCGCCCGACGGACTTGCAGACATAATCTCTAGCTGACTCATCAAAGTTGATTAGAACTAGACATGCTCAAATACAGACTAGAAAACCGGCTATTAAAAATCATATGCAAAATATCAGTTTATTTTCAAATTCTATGAAAATATTTCCACCCACCAAACCCCACAATACCTATGAACAGAAATGGATGGCCACTCCCATCAGCCAACCAGTCTCGAGTTGCTCGCAATAACCTAGAGTCTAAAGACGACATTTAGAACTAAGAATGGGGGGGGGGGTGAAAAGAGCTTCCTTTCCGGAAAGCATTCAAACTCTTCACCTTAGATAATCGGGAGACCCAAACTAATGCTATTTGAACCTTTGCTTCTACTTGAAAAATAATCCACAAAGCAAATAAGTAGTAAGGAACAGTGAACGAAACCTTAACTCAAAGCTCTATAAAAGCATGCAAATTTCAAAACTGGTAAACTACAATGTTCATAGGAAAGTGGCAAAAATGCGAAAACGAACAATTGTTTAACAAAGCCTTTGAAAGTAAATTTCTGCGCTACACACCCTACTAGATGTGTATAAGTAATACAACAGGAAACAGAACTGTTCATTGAAAATGTGCAAGTCATCTGTTCACATCCAGGAAGACGAATGGGCGAACAAATTCGAAAAATAATTAACAAGGAATGTGATGAAATTCGAGTTTTTCAACAATCCATACTAAACCAACAAGAAAAGATGAGCAAAGAAAACTCCCTAACAAACAAGACATTCGGCCCAGATTACACAAGTATCAAACAATCACAAAGAGCCGTTCAATTAACAATGCGTAGTGCCATGACGATTTGACAATACGATGGGAAAGAAATAGGAAACTTTAAGCACGATTACCATTCCAAGAACGAAAAATAATTAAAAGCAAAATTACAATCCCTTGAACACATTGCTAACTCAGTCCAAACTAAATCTATGGTTTAATCACTGAATTACAAAATGTTAAACAATTTACTTGAAGATATAGGGAAACAACCCAATTTAAAAAAAGCCACGAATATAAAATTAATGGCGAATAAATGAGAAATGAGGCATATCCTTCGGAATTTACATTTTATTATCTTATGCCTTCACAACAACTTTGATGTTATACTTCTCGGAGATGTATTTCCATCCTCTGGATTCTTCTCCATAGTCGGTAAGAACCACGCAGGAAGCAGACACGATTTTCCTAGGCAAACCCTTGCGATCTAGTTTGCAGAGGCCAGCAATCTCACCGAGCTGCTTGCCATCAGGAACCTGAGCGCTAATTTAATTTTTTATAAGACCAATTTACCTTGATAAGCGGGACTCCGTACTCTTGGCAGAGAGCCTCGATAATATCAGTGTAGGCGGATTCATCACAGGACTCAGACAAAAAGCAAACAATGACATCACGTCTTTCTATGGCTCTTGTACACTGATGAAGGCCTCTAATGACACCATTAGCTGCAATTGCATTTTTCAGAACCTCCCTCAAGGCTGCATCGAAAGTAATCTCAACAACTTCCATAGTATAATCCTAACGAGTAAGCGTGAAACACCACCAAACTATTTCATAAAGTGCGCTCCCCAATTCGTTAAAAGCTTTAAACGAAAAATATATAATTTATTTTTAAAGTCAAAATAACAAGATTTTAAATGGATTTAAGACATTGTATACAAATATTTTAACTTCAATCTATTTGATTTTTGCTTTTCATAAAATTAAGACTACTTCTATATTATAATTTTTTAATTTCCTAATTTAACTGAACATAAACACAGAGTCCATTAATATGTTCAAATATAATTTTAAAATGGATTCAATGCGTTTTATTTTTTATTTTATTTCAACTTTTCATTTTAATAATTTACTTACCCTGTTCTGTCTCTGATAAAATACAGGTAATTAATTTACACCAATTTCATCCGAATATACAATGTTTTTGAAAATATTAACGCAATGCCACTTAATCAAGTCTTTTGTACACAAAATCACTGTTTCAGAATTTTTTGAACACACAAGTGTTCCGAATACTCCAAGAAATTATATCCAAAATACATGCACTCTTAAAGAGAGATTTTATAATACCTTTTAATGTTGTGTATATTGGTTTAAGTAGAAAATTTAAATTAAAATTTTACTTAGATGCGTCGGTGATCGTGAAACAACTTCTTCAGTAAAAAAATCTGAAGGAAACTAACATGTTAAATGCGAACATATTTTAATTTTATAGAGAAGAGATCTTATAGTGGAATCAAATAGTTAAGATCTCATGCTGATTATATTCTGGAATATAACTTGTCAAAACATTTTGCTATGTCTATTCGCACAAAATTTAAAGATGGGGCTTTTTGGCCGAAATAATATTTTAAATCATATTTTCTATGTTGATATAATTTAAATACGTTCTGTTTTCGGAACCCCTTGATTAGATTCCAACGTAACCAAATTTATAATCCAAACCTTTTACCCATTTACACTTGGTTTTGAATTTATATGAAAACTCCATGTTGTAGAATATTACTATTGTAGTTGGTACGCAGATTATATTTTTATTTACATGTAATCATTTTTCAAATACCTAAATCCAATATGGTTACTTTGAAAAATATTGAAATTTTATTTCTCGCAATGACCTTAAAATGTTATTTGTTACCTAATATATATATATATATATATATATATATATATATATATATATATATGGCATCCTTTTTTGGTCTATTTTCTATTGGAATGATCTATGTGTCCACATAATTCCTTACAGTCAACACTTAATATTTTGTAGCCATAATGGTCGATGGTTTTCTGGAATGTTAAAGATGTAAATAGTCAATTACTTTTTGTTTATTTATTTCAGGAGAAATCATTTTACTTGCATTAACCACTCAGTGATAGGCTGCCGATAATTGGTTGATCGGTTTGACTTTCGTATCATCATTTATAAAATTGCAAATTGAAGACTTTTGGGGGAATGGTGTAAATTGTGTGCGTAAATTTTGTTAATATTTGAAGCGCCATCTATAATTATCGGGTTTCAATAATTTTGTGAAATGTGCTGGCCAGATATCTGCTCTAATCTTCCGACTTACGGGATAAAATCTTCTCAGATATGACCTCCAACAGCACTGATGCTAATAATGAAATCCTCACCTCAGAAAAAGATCGCGGAAATAACAGCATTAATTTGCCAGCCAATCCAACTTTAGAACAAATTCAACAAATGCAGGTTGCACGTAAGGAAAGTAGTTCGGGATTTATGCTTCTAAGCGTTAGACACACGTCAAACGTTGGGAGTATAAGCAACGGTCGAGAGATGCATCCCCTTGTGGAGAATTACGGCGAAACTCATGTCAGATCTGCCTCTATGCAAGCAACGTCCAACTCTATGATGGCCAACAAGCCTGATATGAATCGTCAGTTTTCTTCCACCATGTCTCTGGAAGCCGAAGAATATGATAATAATGAAGATGATGACCCGGATCCGCAATCCGAACCGAATCAATTTTCCCACAACCAACAACAGCAGTCGCAGTTCGTCATGCGCAATCCTCCGAATTTAATTCCCGCTGGGGTATCTTGATAAGTAGTTTTTAGAATTTCAGTTAATTTCATTACATTGACTATAAATTTTTTTCAATATTTAATAGATAACGACAATGGAGCCACCATTAAATGGCACTCAAGTTGTTGACGGTTTGAGACCCTTAACTGTATCCAATCTCTCACAAATACAGTTGCCACCTGGAGTTGTTCCAATTCCAGCAGCTGTTGTACAATCTCCTCAACAGCCACCACCACCACCTATCGCCACAGTGCCTGTCATCTTTCATCAAATCAACGGTCATGAGTCAACATTGATTCCAGTTACATCTCTGAACTCATTGACGCAATTACAATCAGCTGCCATCCTGTCGGATTCAGTTCAGGGTCCACGACCATCTGTTCAGTTGACAGAAATGCCTCCCTTTAAATGCTCCGACCCATCAGCTATGCCTCCAGCAGTCATCGCCATAACCTCAGTCGCTTCTATGGGGGGAGCAGCACAGGCGGTCAACCTTGGTCAAGGTCAACAAAGAGTCTCCGCAGTGCTCAATCAGCCATCCATCCAACACATAATCGATCAAATTACTGCAGAACCTTTGCGATCTGTTTCTGATGCTTCTCTCTCTAACCCCCTCCTGACCTCTCTCAACGCACCCATTCAACCAGCCTCGCGATTTCGAAAAGCTCGTATTCACGAGACAGTGGAACAGTGGAGCTCTAAACGCATATCTCTACACGACTGTCGTTTGAAGGCGGTGCCAGACTGGGTCACGTTTTTGCAATCAAGGCCTATCGATACGACTTTTAATCATCCCATTGCCCAACAGGGTCGTTGTCTCTATTGTTTTGTTCCGGGTGGTTTTGGTAAGTATACTTGTAATCATAGGTTCTCCTTAAACTAATCGTATTATCTAAATTTGTGATAAACCTTGTCCTAAATAGTTTTCTCTTTCACGTAACGTCCCAAAATGTTAGGTATTCATGGGAAATGGTACTCGAAATTCGAGTTTCTAAACTATGATTCTTCCTTCCGTCAATATCTGGTTAGTGTCACCTTGTTTAATTGCCCAAAGGCAAAGTCCTCGTTATGCAATTTCATCAAAACGGTAGTTTGAACAAAAATATTATAGGGTATTGTTGAACGCAGGTTTAAGAGAGCTTCAGGTTGCTTGATATCGCATACTCTTTGCAAAAGTGCGAAAAACTTATATAAGACGGGCTTCACAATGTTTTAAATGACGGCTTGGATTTGCTTCAAATGTATGGTTATAGGGATTTAAAATGCTCCTCTAGGGGTTCTTTTCTCTATGTTCTAGGCTCGCAGTGCAATAAACATGATTACAATCAAAATTTATCGAAACCCCTCGTTGGGACTGGTTCAAAACACCACCACACAAGAAGTGCAGCATGTTCCCTCCCAACTGTACCAGAAACTTCGGAGCAGGCTCACGTCATTCAGGCCGCATTTACTGCCTATCGAGCGGCCACTCAACAGGGCTATAATCTCAAGAATCTCCTTTCAACATGGGACTCCGGCGAACGGTCAGTAAATAAAGCTTTATTTGAACAGTTTGAGCGTTCCATCTCGCCCAAGAGCAATAATAATCCTCACGTCTTAAAACCCAATGCATCGGAGCCTGTTCTTTCATCATCTGCTTCTATCTCTATCCAACATCAACATCAGCATATTGAGACACCTAGTCATAGCTCCGTTGACGTCAACGTGAACGCGCCTATTCAGGGTAATGAGGAATTCGCTGATGGGGGTCTAACTATGGCTGCTCAACCCACAGTGATCACTCAGCAACACCGTCCTTCCGAATTAATTCCTCTGTTAGATCAACCACTAGCTCCCCCTAACGGTGCTCATCAAAAACATGAGGTCTCCGTCTCACATGTTACCGACCCTTCTGCTGCCTACCTTCGAAGACAGGTAACTCTGAGTTCTGAGGAAATAGAAACACCATCACGTTCAGAGTGTGTTCAACAAGTCCAACCTCCAAGCGCCCTTTCCATGGCCATGTCAGATCAACGGTCGTTTGCCCCTCCTCCTACAAGTCCCTCCCAGACTGCCTTGTTGCTGGAAGGAGGTGAACAAGTTTCTGTTGTTGCTCCTGAGGTTTCACCTAGGAGCATACGATCCTTCTCTGGAACCACTATCGGTTCTGTCCAACTCTCTCCTGACACGGAAATGTCTGGAGGTATTGACAGTGGAATTGGGGTTGCTATTCCACAAGTACCCGTCCCTTCCATCGCTGGCAGCCATAATCTCACTAATATCATTTCTTCATCACTAGACCACACGTGAGTCTTGATTTATTGATAGTTTTTAGTATCACATTTACAAGGAGGAGGGAATGTTAGTAAAATTGGAAGGTTTTGGTTCTAAATGGTAAAAAGTTCATTAGAGTTCAATATTCCAGTTCTCTAAGACGTCACTTAAAATAAAATTAGGGGTGAATCTACGGCGTTTGATGTGCTGATGTGAAAATTGCACTGGATTTCGATTTTCGTGCATTTTCACATTAACAAATTTTCGAAACCCGGTTCTTATTCATTTGACAGTCGCGTACATTTAGAGCTAAACAAATTTGTAATGTCCTATTGTTTTGTTTTCATACCTGTAATGCAGTATTTTTGCTTGGTATCTAACATCACAATGGTTTTGAGAATAAGCTCCTGTTTTTCAGTTGTTGCCATTGCTTGAGGTTGCTTGTGAGTTTACTCTTAGAACATGAAAAAGGTTACGATTTGTTTATATCACTTTCAGATCTTATTTCACGCTTCTCTGTGCTTTTGTACAGAGCTTGATGTCAACTTGTTTGCTGTCACTCAGGGGGGGGGGAGTGAAAAACGGATTAAGGGCTTGTCGATTTCATATAAAATCTTGTTGATATTTTCTCTGATGAAATTGGTCCCAGTTTTTTTTATCGTTCATTACAAGTAACCTCATTTTAAATCAAATTGCAAAAACTGATTCACGTTTTTGATACTTTGGTGGTGTGTTTCGCATGCAATGTGGTGCTCCCCCTCCTCCTCCCCCAATTATAATGCCAAATAGTGGATTCATAAGACGACGTTGATCTTGTCGTATTATTATCATGAGCTTTGTTTTGTTCGTTATTTAGACAAAAAGCACGTATGTGTGATCAGCAGGCCTTCAAACTGGCTGAGTACAAATAAAATTTTCAATTTAGTTTTTTTTATGTGTCTTATGACGATGACGAAAAGAATGAGATGGAGAGAATAAAGCTAATGCCGCAACGACACAATGGAGCACAAAGGGTCTCGTGCTGCGTTTTTATATTTCTGCTCAGCCATTCTCGCATATTGTGCGGAGAGAGAGTGCGTTAAAGTGCAGTCAACATCAGCAGGAACAGCAATTTTTGTCTCGCTCAATGAAAGCTTAGCTCAAATAGCTTTGCTGTTGTGTTGTGGCGTTCTTAGAGTACGTCTAGTCTAGTTATGTCTATGGGAGAGTAAAAAAACAAAGGGTAATACTGACTTACTCTTTTTGTTTTCCTGTAAATTTAAACTTTTCTGATATAATCCTTTCTTGTATAAAATGGGTGATTTCAATACCTCCGTTGAGACTGTTAATTTGAACTCCTTTATCCTGGGATTTGACTTATGGGAAGTACAACTTAACTATTAAAAGCCCTTAGGGCCTTACGATCCTCTTTCAAAATAAGCTCCATTGGTATTAGACTCCCAACAGGAGGCGCTATTGCCGTTTGAAACATGCTCACTACGTATATAGCCTTCGCTTGATACCACCAAAACTCACCACGTCGGCGGCATCAGTCTGCTGTGAGGCAAATGTGGGTGCAGTTGGGTGAATTTTTCAAAAAAATAATTCGGACGTTGAAGAGTTAATGGGGATTAGTCCATGCCGTAATCTCTCCATTAATCAGTGTATGTTTCGAAATGTTTCGAACTCATGTTAATTAGGTCTGCACCTAGGGAAAATAGGAGAAATAAGGCATCCCAGAATCTTTGCATTAGGCCATCCTTTTACTGCCAGGTATAATTTCCGATGGATCTCAAGCTCGAGTCAATCGGTTCTGAAAATGCATTTTTGCCTAGCTCTTTCTGAAAAATTGGGAAAAAGAATGTAACCTTTGCAGTCACTTATTATACAGCTTACCAAACATGTCTTGAGGAGTAAAGCAACCTCTAGTCTTTCCTTTTTTTGGGAGTCCCGTTCCATTTACATTTTTTTGCTTAAAATCCATCTCGCTTTGATTTCATTTTTTACTGTTTAACGATTAGTTCGTTTTTGGGTTTACCATTGCAACCCATTTCAACATTCAGGACTTTCACCACTTACTCTGGGCAAAAAGGAGAAATTCTGGATCTTTTTTTATTATTAAATACCGGTCGGTTTGGTTGATGAAGTTCTAATTCGTGCTATCTAATTTTGCTATCATTTATGATGCTGGTAAGTTTTTTGAAGTTAACAACGTTAGACTGGTAGGAATCTTATTGTGCATCGATTTTTCTCCTACCAAGGTCATTTATGTTTATGCGTTGACCTCAAAATTTATTTTTCTACTTCATGTTTGCGAATTTGCTCTGAAAATCTGCACTTTTACCTCTAAGTGCACGTTTTTCGTGCCTTCTCGTGTTTGTTTTTCTACTCGTCTCATAAATAGTCAGGAAAAGAGCTAAAAACTAGTGTGTGGTACCAACTAACCACCCTTTTGACGTCCATGGTTAAAAATCGGCTGCCAAATCTTATAAATGGGCTGCATGGTTAAGAAGGCGAATCTCCGTCGATGATTTGCTGTTGCCATAGCGGGCAGAGTTCACAAAATCTATGACAGTCTATTCGGTTGGAGTGTTTATCATTGAGGAATTTGATCCTTGTGTTTGAGACTTAAGTCTGTTCGACAGGGATGTTTTGTTAAATGGGGTATTGGTTGAGTTTATCCATCTTGGTAGTGTGGTACCGATTACTGCTCAAACAGGAGTTGTGCTCATAAAGAAGAAAATTGCAATAGTAATTATTTTACCTTTTTTCCACCATCTCATGCATATTTTCTTTTTACCACTTCCAAATTTGAGCTACTCTACGAATTGAAAATCCAATGCCGGCATTAATATGGCGTCAAGAATTAAGCACTACGATTGTAAGCGGGAGAAGAGTGCTAAAGCCTAAAAAAGTTATCGCACATCTATTTTCAATGTGCTATAATTTGAAAGCTATTCTCTCCACTTGTCCAATTCGTATTCTGGAAAGAAGCCTCAAGTGTACTTGCTACTACTACGCTTCAATTCTTAAAGTCATCTACAAGATGGCTCTGATATTGGGGCGGCATTTTAATATGTAAAGCTTTAACTATACCCACGTCTTTTTTTGTCATTCTTTAAAGATCCATAAATTTGGAACTTGGAGCCGTTATTGGTATTTGTGTTTTGGTAGGACAGTGACCTCTTGTGGGTAGTGGTCAAATGCATTAATTGGTATTAGCTAACATGTGAAGAGGTTTAATGCCAGTTCTTCGTAGTGGCTTGAGTTATTGCCTCTTAATGATCTTCACTCTATTTATCTTCCATCGAAATTTCGCCCGATTAATAATTTCTGATTACTTGTGAAAAAATGATGAGTAGTTTTGCTTAATATCCTTGCCGCACTAATTGTAGTTGACAGAAAGAAGGGAATGCGATTAATACATTTATTGACCGAACACTATACCTAGGTGCTATCCTATTTAATTGGGTGCTGTTTTAATTATTGAAAATCATGAATTGCATTTACCGCATATGCAACAATTTAATGATTGTGAACTTTTAATAAATGCGCATGATTCTTCCTTTTTATTTTCCATTTTTTCTCAATGGGAGTTGATTGACAGTCCCCTCCTCTTCTAACCCTGCTGATATCACCACCCCCACTACCACTACCATTTTTGAGTCGAGGTTGAAAGTATCTATGTCAGTTCATTTTCTTGCAGAAATGTTGCCTAGAAGTTTCCCCAACTTATTATTTGAAGGCCTCTGGGAGGCAAAAGTATTTGACTAAAAAATAAATGCGGACGTTAGACTTTGTTTACGAAAGCAGAAATGCCACAGCGTCTCAGATTGACTAATATATTTATCGATTCTCAATCCCACTATAACTGCCACTGCTTCCTTACATCTTTATTAACCTCTGGATTCTTTGATCCAAATTTTGTCCCACAGGTGGTGCACATTTAATGTGGTTTCTCTGTGCTAAAAATTGTGTTGTGTTCGTTGGTTGGCTTTCGGGCCAAGTATGTGGGCCTTACACCGGTCGGTAAGAAAGCAAACAACGCATATTTTCGAAGGCATTTTAGAGTCTCATTCTTACCTCTTTGTGTTGCAGAGCATATTCTTGTTTATTTGGTTCAAGTAAGTTGGCACTAGTTTTTGATTTTCAACTGTTGGAACGTTTTTTTTGTTAAAAGATCAGAATCTACCCTCCAAGATGGTTGGGAAGTAGTTGGACGTGAAACAGACCGCAAGTTTTGTACTATGTATGCAAAATTGTGAGTAAGCTCGTTAGATCGCTCAGAAATCCATTATCAAGCAGATAATCTGACTCGTTGATGACTATTTAGATGCCTGGAGGCATTCATGGGATGTTTGATCTTTATTTTTTTGTAGTTTCAGTTCATGAAGTGTCCCTTCTCTCTTTAGTTGCTAGACCCCAATTTCGAATTCTTATCTTTAATCTATTTTACCTTATTATAAAATACTACTTTAACTCTTCGAATGTAATCTCATTTTTCTTAAGCAGCAAATCATTTATTATTTGAAAAAAAGTTAAGGCGAAACTAGTGATATTCTACCAAATTTATTTGGTATGTGAGGGTTTGCTAGAGTTGGCATAAGTCTTTTGACTAGCACTTAGAGTAGTGGACTATCTCCGAAGTATGTTAAGAAAGTCCAATTGATATACTTTTAATCAAATGGAAATAGTAAAGAGTACCTAGTAAGTGATGGAGGGTTAAAGGAGAGAGTTTTATCTCACCTATATTCCAATTTGAAATACTTTCCTCACATTTGGCTTATTGGGCGTATTTCATTGTATCGTGCCTCATTGTTCCAAAGTTCAATTATCAAAGGTGAGTTTACATCCCTGATGTTTAGGTGTTATTAACCAGTTGAATTGAGCTTTTGTTTGTCCTGCATTTTTAATGCCTCTTCTGTTTTGGTAGCTAAGACGCGACCATAAAGCCAGCCATTAGAACGCATAACTTAAATTGGGTCAAACGGTCGTGTGCAATGACGGACCTTTTTTGTCTTGTTTTTATTTTCAAGCTTAGAAGTCTTGTTCTTCCA